TTATATCATGTGTTTTCCAAACCTGTCGCCTTTTAAGAGGGGACTCAATCCCACCCCAAAGCCCCCCCCCCGGCCTGGGGGGAGGTGGGGAATTCTGGGAGTTGAAATCCACTCATCTTAAAGTGGCCAAGTTTGGACAACATTGTCCTAGAAAATAATGCTTGATTTTCTCTGTTCTCATCATTACCATCATACCTTTTATTGTGGTAACAAGGAAGCAGCTCTCATCTTCAAAGTTTTGAACCATCTAGGGAGAAAGATTATAAATACCATTCCTTGTTGACAATAAGCAAATAAGTTTAATACATTACACAAGAAGTTGCCAAATTGTTCTACAAACAACCTGTCCCTCTAATGCTCTCCTCTCATTTGAACAAATGTATTTTCCTAGTTTAGCCAAAAGTGCAGTGATACCTAATAATGTATAGTTTTAACATTTCAACTGCATAGCTACAAAAAGTGGCAATGTTATTGCTATGTATGGATGTCTGATTTACTTATAAATGAAGTTCACATATTACATATTATGTATCTGGAATGTTCAGAAACATGGCAACAAAAGCTTTGGACCACAAAGAGAAAGTCCATGAGACAAGTGATAGCCTGAGCATTTTAAGTCAAAGGATGAGGAAATAATTATCACTTTGTTCCTGACACTGAGAGCTTTCAGATCAGAATTATTTCCAATGAAATTTGCTGTAATTGATAGGAGAAAAGCTAAGCTGATGGGAACCAACCGTTTGTACAAGCAGTATTAAAATTCTGACCAATTCATTTTGTTAGATTCCTTGAGTTCCAAGGAAGGCAAGATACTCATTAACTAAGACTGTATGAAAAATAAATTTCATATGTTAAAACCCGATTAGTATGCTTATTGATTGATGGTCTATTGTCAGCACTCCATTTGGAATTTGAATTTGTATCCTTAACTGTAACATACTGTCTACAGCAGTAGCAACTATGCTACTAAGGAAATGCAAACCTGATTATGGTTTTTTGAAATTTCTGAAATGTGAAATGTGTGTTGGTGAGGAAAAAATGGAATTTACCTGATCACTGACAAGAATATGGATGCCAGTAGGACCTTGTCTGTAAACCTGGTTAATTTGATGCAAAGGGATATTGAACACCAAAGCAAGCTTGCGAGTGACTTCCGAGGCAGCCATTTCTTCCAAGTAGATTGCATGGTAAACTAAAATGAAAAATATCTTAAAAAAAGATCTTCTAAAAGACCCCTATCACTGTTCTTCAAACAAATATCTCTTGATTTTTTAAATGAAATTGTTAGAATTCTATTCTACAAGATTGCAATATTATAGAGCATAACTTATTAACACATGGAACATTAGAAACCTTTTTATATTTTAGATCTGCAACACTGATGTTTGAAACATGCAACCTAGAGACCCATTTCCTGTATTCCCCTCTCCTGAATTCAAGTAGGAGTTTGATTCTTTAAATTAAGTTGTACACAACCTCACGCCTGAATGCCAGCTGCCTGAAACAGGGTGCAAACCTTAATAGAGAATATTACTATCTTTCGTAATATCCTTGAAATAGAACTGAGCCAAGAAACAACATATTCTTTCTGAATACTGTAATTTTCAAAATGCAGAGTAAACTGAAAAATAATACAATGGCCACTGCAAGAACTATAGTTATTCCATGGTGTACATGAAGGCTGGAAATGGACTGGCACTGGTCTTTGCCTTTCTTCTTAAAACTATATATTTCTGAAAGTGGAAGCATCCCCTTGTGCAATAAATATATATGACCTTACTCTGTGCAAATGTAACCCATCCTGACTGCAAATGCAATGCCCACAAGAACAGAAGAATTTTTCCTGTAAATTGAATTTTTGAGATGACAGAAAACAATATCCTGTTTTTTCCTACTTTCTCTAAATCACAGGATTAAAAAAATACTCTGGGAAAGGAAGGTCTATTGCTGAGTATCCTTCTGGCAAGTGAATCTGTGAATATCTCATAATGTGCTTCTTTAGTAAGTATATCTAAAATCTAACATTCCTCCTCCTCTGGACTATGCTGAGCCTGTTGTCCTGGGACTGATTGGGCAATTGTTTGGAAGTTATTCCTGTGACCAAGAAGTAGTTTGTGATGTTCCACATAAAACTGGCTTGTTCCAGGACAAAACAGTATATGGAAAACTGTCAATCTATCCCCCAGGCAGTTGGATCAATATGGTTGGAAGAAGCAACAGAATATGTGGAACAATATTTTTGTTCCCAGAACATTTCTATTATTATGAATGTATTTTTCTCTAATCTGAATTAATAGGCTTATCTTCCACCATATACTTTTATATAATTTACCCTTTATGTCTTTCATCATTATGGAAAAACTTACTACAGCACTCAGAATATGGTTTTATAAGTTTTTAGACCAGATGTTTTTCCTAAAATTTGAATACAGTGCACTTGTTAATCAACCAAAAATATATACTCATTTTGCCATTGTATTGCACTGAAATTTTGATTTATGCAAAACAGTATCTACAGTACTGTTTAAAAGTTTGTGAATCCTTCTAAAATTTCAATTTTTCTACATAAATATGACCTAAAATGTGATCTGTTCTCCACACTAGTCCTAAACCTAGATAAAGAGAACCCAATTAAACAAATGTATCAAAAACATTATACTTGTACTTTGATTTATTGAGGAAAATGATCCAAAGCTACATATTTGTGTGTAGCAAAAGCATGTGAACCTCTAGGATTATCAGTTCATTTGAAGGGGAAATTAGAGTCAGGTCTTTCAATCAATGGGATGATAATCAGGTGTGAGTGTGGGAGGTCCTGCCTTACTTAAAGAACAGAATTCTGGGTAATCAATATCGAAGTCTGATCTTCATAAGGGGTATATGGAAGTGTCACGGCTCAACAAAGGTGGTTTCTGAGGATCTCTGAAAAACAGATGTTGGTGCTCAGTAGGCTAGAAAATGTTACAAAACTCTTTCCAGAGAGTTTGGACTCCACCAGTCCACTGCCAGACATGTCGTATGCAAATGGATGCAATTCAACACTACTGTTACACTCCCCAGGAGTAATCAACCAACCAAGATCACACCAAGAGCAAGGCATATAGTATTCTGGGAGGTCTCAAAGAACCTCAGGGTAACGTCTAAGAAACTAAAGGCCTCTCTTGCATGGGCAAACATCAGTGTTCATGAGACCACCATTAGGAGAACACTGAACAACAACAGCGTGCATGGCAGGGTTGCAAGGACAAAGCCACTATCTCCAAAAGAACATTGCTGGCCACCTACAGTTTGCAAAAGACCACATAGATAAGCCAGAAGGCTACTGGAAGAATGCTCTGTGGACAGATGAGACCAAAACAGAACTTTTTGGCTTGAATGAAAAGCGTTGTTTGGCAAAAGGCAAATACTGCATTCCAGCATAAGAACATGGTAGTGGCAATATCATAGTTTGTGCTTGCTTTTGCTGGCTATGGACCAGGACAACTTGCCATCATGGATGGAACTATGAATTCTGAATTGCACCAGCAAATTCTACAGGAAAATGTCAGGGTATCTGTCCATGAACTGAAAGTCAAGAGAAAGTGGGTCATGCAGCAAGACAACAACCCAAAACACACAAGTCGTATGACCAAAGAATGGTTAAAGCAGAAGTAAATTAATGTTTTGGAATGGCCAAATCAAAGTTGTGGCCTTAATCCTATAGAAACGCTGTGGAAGGACCTGAAGCAGGCAGTTTGTATAAAGAAGCCCACCAATCTCTCTGATTTTAAGCAGTTCTGTAAGGAGGATTAGGCTAAAATTTCTCTAAGCTGATGTGCAGGACTGATCAATGGTTATCAAAAATGTTTAGTTGCAATTATTGCTGCCCAAGGGCAGGGGGGGGGGCATACCAGTTACTGAAAAGCAAAGGTTCACATACTTTTGCCACAGACAAATATGTAGCTTTGGATCATTTTCCTCAATAAAGAAATGAACAAACATAATATTTTTGAGTCATCTGTTTAATCGAGTTCTCCTTATCTGGTTTTAGGCCTTGTGTGGACAACAGATCACATTTTAGGTTATATTTATGCAGAAATACTGAAAAATTGAAAAGGGTTCACGAACTTTTAAGCACCACTATTCTTAAATGTGCCTCGTGGTGAATACATCTCCTTTCAATTTCTTCATTATGCAGTATTTTATATTTGTCTGTTAAATTTAATTTACTTCCACTAGCTGTATTTTCAAATGCCTCAAGTTGATATTATTTCTCCGAGTTATCCACAATCTTTCTCAATTTCTGTTATTTATAAATCTGATGAGCTGATTCTTCTTCACCTAATATGAAGAATTAAGATGCCAAATATAATCAGATTAGGAACCTCTAGAAATCCCAACACACTTTTATACAGACGCTACTTGTCAATCAAGTATCTGTGGAGAATACTGTGTTTCCTGATTTTTCATTAGAGGTTTATCTGGATCAGAAACTATCTTTAAGTCTTCTCTGTCTGTGAGCTGTGTCTCTCTAAGCTACACATACATCTATTAATCAGCAACATTAGTTTGGCATGATTTGCTTTCAGGATGGCAAAACTGAACTGTACTCTAGAAAACTGAAAATTATTTATGCATTCCAGTATTTTTCCGGTTAGGCCAGATGAACAATCTTCAGGTACAAATTCACTTCTCTGTACTTTTTCAAATGCAAGTTCTGTCAATTACATACTATTTACACAACATGGTTTAATTCAAAACATACTTGTCTCACTAAAAAAGGCCAAAGGATTTTCAATTCTCCGGCTTATTTCAAGGCCTCAAAGAAATCTCTAATTGACGCATAAATAGAATTCCTCCAATGTACAGTAACAATATATTTGATACCAAAAGAAAATACATACCAAATATTGCACCATTCCTTTCTCCATTGCCTGAGTCTTGTTGCCTTTCCAGTCGTATACTTCTTGACTGCTCTTGGCATACATAGATTGTTAGACGTGGCCTAACAGACCTAGAATGTAAAGAAAAATAAATATTCCTTTAAAGAATACTGTGGATGTATGCTCATTTTATTATATTACTTTAACACTATTCTTTGCAAACTACTTAAGATTTTATCAAATATTGTTTAGTCTAGTTACTTGTCTCAGAACCATTGAAATTATTCTGATGTTGGTAAATTAATTCTTAAATTTAAATTAAAGCAGCAAGACATTGATGTATGGTGTAATTTTTGTAAAACAACTACCAGAGTAGCAGAAGTAACAGCAAGTTAACATAATCTATTATGCCAGTTTAATTCACAGTTAGAAAATCCGCAATTGTTAATATTTAGTAGCCATGACCTCAAGAACTTTAGTTTGGTTATAGCTCACCTAAATGAGAAGATTTGTCTCTTGGCAACAAACCCATCCGTCTTCAAGAAATCAGAACTGCCCAACTGCATTGCTACCAGTCTTACAGTCTACCTTTGAGCTCATCAGTGCCTGCATCATATCTGTGGCCTGCCCTGAAGGTGTACAACAAAACATTCTTCTTTTGAGCACAGTACTTCCAACTCTTGCATGAGCTCACACAGGCATATGCCAATCGAAAATCTAAATTAGCATCTCCCAAACCCTCTAGTCTAAGACAGACTTTTTTATACGACTGACATAGGCAGAGTTGACAACAATAAACTATCTACCTTGATTTAAGTGCATTGTAAAGCCGAATTCCATCAGCAGGACCACAGATTTGTACCAGATCTTCTCTTGTCAACTTCAATAAATCAGCACCTACAAAGACACATACAGAATGTATCTAGAGTAGAAGACTAGTCTGGCAATTTACAGAATAAAACTGCCTTGCAAAGATAGATCACAATATTTCTGAATAAGTTACTAGTAACTTTTGCTAATATAATGGTTTGGCTTTAAGGAATTCTAAGCAAACTTAAATTTAATATGATATACATTTAAACTTTCTGCTCATTTTAAGTCAGTAATTAACAATCAATCTGCATTCTTTAGGGTAATTCAGAGCACACTTACAAGATGTCTTAAAACACACTTCAGAAAAGCACAGAAAAAATGAAAACATAAGAAATATGATTATTACATGGTGAAGATTATGTTAATAGCATAACAAAGGTCATATTAAGTTCTCTCACTGCTATTTTTTTTTACTGTAACAGCTGCTAATACTACTTTTGCTTAAACTGCACAGCAATGGATGTTTCAATAACTTCATGTCTAAAACACTTAGCTGAAACAAAATCCATACACAACCAACTACTTCTGTCTGGATAAACTCAGCTGGTTTCAGGGAGGTAGTTGAATATTATTTTTTGCTAATCAGTAAGCTACATGAAAAAATCCCTTCTCACAGCCAAATCATTCTCTGGGTTTGCATGGAGTTAACTGGTGCCATGAATCTCCACAGGGAGAAAGAACCTATCCAATTGCTCTGCCTCAGATGTTTAATGGATCCTGTTCCTTTCTAATTCTTGAAGCGCTGGTGGTTAACCTCTGAAATAAGAGATTGCTAGGGGCATTTGCCAGGACTGCTCTTGAGCAATCCTCTCTAGTCACTGATCTATGAGAGCTCCTGGCTTACTGAGGAGGTCCAGAAGATGAAGTGACAGAAGAGATGCCTAGAGCAATGCTGGCATAAGAAGAAAAACAGATTTGACCAAACAGGTAATTCTGAACCTACTTTGTAAACACAATAATATATCTTCCCTTAAGCTCTCCAAGCAGAGAGATACAGATGTTATGTCATGCTCTCATATTTTACATGACTTACACACACACGCACACACCTGGGGGAAAGGAATTTCTCTGTTTTTACATACTGTATATTCTGTATGGTATTTTCAGTTACAATAACCACCAGGAGCACCACAGAATAACATCTGGCTACCTAGATCTGATGATTCCCAATAAGGATGAAACCGATAACGTGGTATCTCCTGGTGGTCAATGTAACTGAATGTACCTTGTGATAATAAAAGTGGTGAAGAAAGCTTTATCTTCCACTCTTAGTGTATCTGTGGGTAGCCACTGGGCAACATTAAAGTGACTAGGTTCCTAACATGTAAACAGTCAGAAGATTGTATGCTGGGGTAAACTAAGTATCTGGAAGATAAATAATTTTGCTCAGAGTTAGATGCTGGTTGGGCAAATCCAGCTGAAATGACCGAGGCTTCATCTTGTGGGGTTATCTAGGATTGGTTTGAACTTGTGAATGCTGAGGATATCAATAAGGTAGTCTGTTCTATTAGCTCTGCCACCTGCGGATTAGATTTCTGTCCTACTTGGTTGGTGAAAGTAGCCTGTGGCAGTAATAAATGTGGCAGTCCAGAGGTAAAGGCTCCCACCTTGAAAGAGGTGGTGATATAGCCCCTCCTCAAGAAATCATCACTCTCCTTGTGCAGACAGCCAGGGAGACAGCCCTGAAGCAAATATTCAGAAACAGTTATGTAAACAAACAGGACAGAAGCATTCCTTAACTCCTGGGAAGGGAGATAATATTAAGAGACTCAGGCTGACTCGTCCCTTACTCACTGGGGTATAAGAGGGAGGGGAGGAGAAGCACAATCAGACTTGTGAGATTCTGTTATTATAGCCTATCTCAATAAAATATATTTCTAATCTTCCTACGGAGTCTGTTTCCTGATTTGGTCTATCTGATCTGTTATCTTTAAATAACAATAACAGGTCTCCAACCTTCCCTTGAACGAAACTGATTATCTGAAGTCTTTTCAATTAGGATTCAGCTCTGGTGCGAGAATGAAACCTTATTGATCACTCTTGTCAAGGACCATTGGCAGGAGCAAGGTAGAGGGAATGCAGCTATCCTGGTTCTGCTGGACCTCCAGGCAGCCTTCAGTGCCACTAACTATGATATTTACCTGGACTGATTACAAGGTTTGGGAGTGGAAGGTACTGTTCTTGAATGGTTCTTCCTGAGTGGCTGATTAGAGTTGGTGGTAATGACTGGGGAAAGGCCAAGCTCTTGGCCACTAGATTATTAGGTGCTGCAAGGCTCAGTCGTCTCCTCCACTATTGTTTAACATCTATATGAGACTACTGGGAGAGATCATTCACCAGCACCGGATGAGATATTAATAAGCTGATGACACCCAGTTATATATCTCCACCCTGAGCTGGGCAGGAAATGCAGTGGAGATCCTGAACTGGTGGCTGGAAGCTGTTAGGGTCTGAATGGGGAGAGACAATCTTAGAGTGTATTGATCGATATTTGTTTTTAATCTTTCTATATTAATAGTGTAAGCCACTCAGATTCTGTGGAAATAAAGAGGCATGTAAGTTGTAGTAATAATGCATACATTCATAAAAACATACATACTTGTATAGTATTCTGTCAATAGGTATCAAAACTCCTTATTAGATGCACTATTTAGGGATCAAAATGGACTTCTCTTTAGTTTCATTTAAGGAAATGCTCTATAAAAAACAACTTTCAAGTGCTACTTTAGAAAAGTTGGGACAGTTACCCAATGTTTCTATTTTGTTCTTAGTTTCCCAGGTTATAGTCCTGTGCTGTTTATGTTTTACTGCTTTATTCTGAGGTATCAACTGCTTTTTTCCTCCTGTGCAAAATTAAAGGAAACTGTTTTTGGTTTCTGATTATGTCTACAGAATAATGATCAGTGTATAGCAGTGGGATTTTAAAGAGAAGGCTATATAAGCAGCCAATCTGCTTGCGGGTAGGGTGCAGAATGTGTGACACTTGGGGGTGGGGATGAGGTAAAGCAAAACTTATGCTTCGTAGTGACTCAACTCTTTTAGCTCTTATAACCAAATCCTAACCTCTAATTTGAAAAGTAAATTGATAGTACTGAAAAAGGGGTTGTTTCTATCTACTTATTTGCATAAAGGACACTTAATCAGCTATAGACTGACATGGCCAAGGTTGCGGATTGTTCAGCCTTAGGATGAGAACCCAAGCAGAGGTCATCTCCAAATTGGGTTGGCAATAAAATGGCAAATAAATGTGAAACAACAGATTGATATACACTAGAGCTAAAAATAATCTTAGCCCTCGCTGAACTGATTCAGTCTAAATAGGTAGTAAGTATTTAGCAAAAATCTTTGAATCATAGTCAATTATTCACCCTCTGAATGCATGAAAAAATGTATTGGGCTCCCTTTCAGATCCAGTAAGGTCATTCTTACCAGTTAGGTATGCTATAAGATTACCAATGAAATCAGAAAGACAGGAAAGAACCTTGGACATATGTAATCTATAAGCAAACACACACAAATTTTAACTTATATTATCTACTTTTAAAACACAAAATAAACTTTGTAAAATATTAACTACCTGAGAAATTGGAAAACACCCTTGTGTAAGTGGAAAATCTATGTTTAAGCAGCCATTGTTGGGTTTCCTGGATTGTGGCTGATGGATGAAGTTGCTGGGAGAAAGGGGAAAAAGCAGTGTACAATGTTATGATTTTTCCAAGACAATAAATCTGAAAATAGTATGATAAGTTTCTTGATCGTATGAGAAACTGACACTTACCTCACCACCTGCTAGGGAAATCCCTTCTCCTTGATGATTTGGAGATGATGAATTACTAAATAGGGAGAAATGTGACAAAGGAAATCACAAAGTTAAAAAGGTTCTATGTAATCAGGGGTCTGATTCAGTAGGGTATACCTGAACTACTTTCCTATTAGCTGTTTTCCCACAGCAAACTCTAGTTTCCTACTTGAAAGTGACAAAACACAAAAACAATAAATCTTTTAGAAGCTTTTTTCAGAGCTTGGCATTTGGGTTGCAACCAATCTAACCAGCGCTTGCAACAATCTAAGATGATTTTATTTGGCATGCTGAAGACAGAAAAATATTGGCATTAGACAGAATTGGGTTAGTTATGCTTAACTATTTATTTAGTTATTTGTATGCCGCCTTTCTTGTGACTCTTGGCTTACAATAAACATCCAAAAATCTATACAAATAAAAAACTGGTAAAAGCATTAAGCACCATAAAAACTGCAATAACATCTGTGGTTACCAATGAGCTGATTTTCCTATCTGAATGCCTTCACCATTTTACAGAAAGGTATTTGGGTAGGAATACCTCTAGTCTTAGAGGACAAGTTGCTCCAGAGGGAGGGAGTTGCCACTAAGAATGCAATTATCTGGGTCTCAAACTCCATGACCTCTTTTGAAACAGGGAGCCAGAGCATCCTAGCACTGCCAGATCATATAGGGTGGGCAGATTGTACCAGAAGATGGTCTCAAAGGTAACAAGGGCCCAAGCCACAATAGGCTTTATCACCAGCACCTTGAATTGGGCCTGGAAGCCTACTGGTTAGCAATGCAGCCACTGGAACATTAGTGGAATCCTGCTAAATCAGTTAGCAAGTGGGCTGCTGATTCTGTGCCAACTGCAGCTTCTGATTTGACTTCAAGGGCAACCCCAGGTAAAATGAATTGCAGTAGTCTAGCTGAGTTAACAAGGGTGTGGGTTAATGTCTTCAGTGCTTCCTGATCCAAGAAAGGGTAAAACTGCTATATTTGGTGAAGCTGGCCAATGGCTTCCCTGACCATGGCTTCCATCTGTTTTCCAGGAAGAGCTGTGAGTCATTAAAGAAGCCCAGATTATGCATCACCTCCTACCCATCAAGAACTATATATGGAATATCCATCATACCAACAAGTTTCTGAACCAGCAATAACTCTGTTTTGCTGGGATTCAACTGTAGTCTGTTTCACCCCATCCAGACCCTCAGAATCTTCAGGCACCAGGTTGAGATCTCTCTCGATCTCTCTCATACACACACACACACACACACACACACACAGTTCTACCTGAGGCTGGCAGATAAAGTGAGTATCATTAGCATACCAATATCTAAACCAAAACTAATGGAGGATCTCTCACAGCAGTGCCATATGGATGTCAAACAAATGAGAGAAGAGGTCAAGCCCTGAGGCACATCACACTAAAGTGCCCAAGGGCTTGACCTATTCTCCCTAAACAATATTAACTGGAACTGCCCACTCAAGAATGAGAGAAGCTACTGTAAAACAGTGTCCCCAATCTCCAAACCTTGCAAGTAGCCCAAAACGGTACCATGATGAATAGTACTAAATGCCACTAAAAGATCTAGCAGGATCAGATGGGCCATACAACCTGCCTCCAAGTGCTATTACAGGAAATCAATAAGACTGTTTTAATCCATATTTCTCATAATGTAGCAAGAAATCCTGCAGGCTCTCTAGATATTCTCAAAACCTTAATTAGCCAGGAACTCCTTTCCCATCCTTTATTTTGGTGATGCACCATATCATATAATGAAATAAAGGGATATACTGAAACCAAAGAATGCTATCACATAATTGTACAGAAATTTCTGACTGGCAATATTGTTTTTGTGATAGCACTTAACATCTTCCTGAATTTCAATCTTGATTTAAGATAGCATATCAGCTTAGAAGTCAAACATACCTGTCTGGGACACTGTAAGTAGTATGTGGAGAAGAAGTAAAAGCTGGTGTTGGGGTAGGGCTATTATTTACAAATGCAGTAGGCGTATCAGGCCATGGTGAACACTAGAATAAAGAAAAATATTAAACAGCAGTTTTACCATTACCATTAGGAATGCATTGCAGAAGTTTAGCTCTTGCTTTAACTTTTACAAATTTCAGTCCTCATTATTACATAATCATATCATCACTTATTTGTTATGCATGCATTTATAAGGTCTTCACTAAGTTGAAAATGTATTCATTCTTTGTATTATAATACTTGTTGTCTCATGATAATTTAATAACTGAAAGGATCCTATTGGCAGAAAAAAGGTCAAAGCTCTATTTTTAAATTCTGTACAAAGTACTCTGAGTTAGTGGCAGTATCTATGGAAAAGGCAATAATGAGAAAGCATGACATGAGTTTTACAACAAAAAATCTTAAAAATTCTGATTACCAGTTCACTATTTGAACTAAAAAAGTTTCTCAGAGTTGTTTTCATCTTTTAAAACTACAATTAAAATGTAATTGGAGACTTTTGCTTATAGTAAACTACTAATTATTTTAAAAGCATGTGGACTCTGTAGAAAAGTATCAAGAAACTAAGTATATGTGCATTACGTATTATGAAATTCTTGTAAATTGGTTTTAATGAGAAGGCAAGCATATATTAGAAAATGAGACTGTAAAACTTTGAATCTTTGAAACTCATCTAAACTAGGCAGAGCTTCAGACTCATAGGTAGCACCTGTCTGGCTACTCCCTAAAGCAACTGCAACTTCAGGATCCTCCACAGCTCCAGTACAATCTTGGGAAAAGACACGCAAGTTTAAGGAGTTGCTGGCAGGTGCTATGTGTGCATCTCAGAACAATCTGTTGCATTTGAATCTAAAATACTGCACAATCCTTAAACTATGACTTGATGACAAACAGTTTTTGCCTGAGATGAGAAACATGGAAATTAAGTACCACTTTACAAAGTGAATTGGTGGATCACATGTACAGGTGTGATGTAGATGTACAGGGAATCATGCAAGTAAAAACATGTAAAAAGTCTTGTAGTATCAGTATAGTGTTATATCAGGGATAGATGGCACTACAACTGCTGCCAGTTATCATCACTGTTCTCACATATTTTCTTAGATAAACTTAACTCACTTAGGGCCACCTCTTTTAGATTCCAAATCTCATAATCCTTAACCACTAACAAAAGGAACTGGAGTCTATACATCTGGAGTGCAGTGGTTTCCTTTTGCTGACTTAAAGAAACAGTAAAACCATTCTCAGCAGAGAATTTTGAAAGACCAGCACTGCTATGACTACTGAACACCCATATAAACAATGCACTATCTCTCTAGCCATCCTGCCATCTTCTATACCTAACCTTCTTGCTCCTTAGCAGTGAAAAATGGTGACAAAATGAAACGTAAATGCACTACCAATAGCAGAGGAACATGGTACTGACAGCTCTTTGTTCATTTCTAAAGAGCAAGATGGGGCTATGTATCTCTTCTCTCCATTTCAGATTATGCAAATATACTTTTCAGGTTATAACATACAGCCTATTTGTAATCATTTATACTGTTTCTTGCAAACTAAGACACTGGTTGTTCTTGCTTTGATACACTTTTTAAAGCTATATTGGTTTAATACAGAATTAGTACCCAGAATTATAAAAAGGTATCATTAAATTCATTTTGAAATGTAGAGCTTATATTTAATATTTATTATATTCTTAAAGGACAATTGCAATAAATTCAATGTATAATATTTTAATTTATAATATATACTGCCTAGAGTGTGGCTGTTAAGCAGAAATTAACAATAGGGTTACCATTACAATAAACCACTCAATTCAGTGCATTGGAGACAAAAAGCTTCAATTTTCAGTTAACATTTTTCCCATGATTAAAGCTTCTTTTTCATGCCAATTTATTAAATTTTTCATTTATTATTATCAAACTACCCTTATCTTTAACACTGCACATTCAAAATTGCTAATGAAGCACATTTAAATACATCAATAGGCTTTAAACCTTTTCTTTCCAACCCACAGGAATCGTGGGAAGGAGTAATGTAAAGGGGGTTCTGGCTATTCATGGGTAGACAACTCTCCAAATACTGAACAGAACAGGAACAAAACTGGTGTGGGGACAGAAACTGTCAAAATAAAAATAAGTTCAAAAACTGGCTGGACCTGATGAGGAGCTGCAGAAAAAAAAATCCTGAAAAAAATTCCCCCATGCATCCCTGTGGGACAGGCAGATGGTGTGACTTGAGATGTTACCAACTCCTCGATTTTAAACCCTCCTTCCTATTCCTTCCTGGTCATATGACCCACAGTGTTGCTATTATTATGGGATTGGAAAGAATTTCAGAAGCCATGCTTTGCATGCTTTCCCTACCTTGTTGAAAAGTTACACTTGGGAGAACATATTTGACTAGGCAAAATTATGCAAATTGCTCATTACTTCCCAGGTTCTGCTGTCTTTTACTGTTTGCTATCTTAGCCAAGGCAGATTTGTAATTCCTGGTACTTAATGAAAAAATGTATAATTATCTGACTATAACAATTCTCATCTCAGAATGCATCCACGATAAAGCTATAGAAAAAGGAGGAATATGTTAAGAACATGGGAAATTTTAACCTTATACAGACAAAGCCCGCAGGATTCAAGAGCAGGCCTATGAAAAGATTGCTGTCACCTTGGTCATTGGTTCTGTTGTCTGATACATGGATTTTACTATCCTAAAAGCTAGCAATTGCTCTAGTCTTTGCTGAAGCCTCAATGTTGGCATATTGATAAGACAGAATCAATAAAGACCATGCTGAGGATGTACTAGTAACTGGCCACATCTTTCTATTAAAATCATCAATCAAATTGCTTTATTCCAAATGGGCAAGGAAGCTAAACTGAAATCATGAGCTCTTTGTAAAACCTGACTGCACTTTGGAATGTATGGGTGGGAATGTCCTGATTTCCCCAGAGGAAGTAACCAGTAATTCTGGACTGGTATCTGATTAATGGAATTGCTCTTGATCACAAGACTAGGGACTAGGATCACTAACCTAGGGAAAGGATACAAATATGGCAGAGTCCCCATTGAACAAAAGTATGATGCAATAACCAAGAGTTGAACTCAGGTCCAATTTATCAACCATGAAGCTCACTGAGATAACTTACTCATCAAATTTCAATTCAATCTATGTTATAGGACTATCATCAAGATTCAATGAGTAAAGATAATAATATGACATCACCTTGATCTCCTTCAAGGAATAGTGGGATTAAAAAAGATGCATAGTTTGTTTTTAAAAGATATGATTCTGGAATTGTTTTTACTGTAACACAACACTAACAAGGAATTGCCAGCTGGTAACATACAAGAGGACAGCAGCACTCTAGCATCAGCCTCTTTAAGGATGGGCAGGGTTGGCATGCTACAGGAATATGTTTATGGGCCCAGTACAGAGGATTTTGGAACCTAAGTGCTATTCTTACTAAGACTGCAAGCACAACAAAAAGATTTCAGCTATTCAAGCAGACTGATTCTTAAATGGTAGTGGCTTCCATTCTAACTCTCTTAGACAATCCTCTTTATTACAAGTAAAAGAGGATTATACTGGCACTGTTCAGCAACTTGTGTGAAAAAATGTACATAATTGCACATTAAGCATACATACAAAGTAACCAAAACTAAGAATTTTTTGCAGTTCTTATATTAAAAAATACCAAGAAAAGAAATGGAAAGAGTGTAATCAGAAAGGCAAGAGGATCTTTACTGTAACCACTTTGATGAAACAGTTTGTAAAAACATGCAAGCTAAAATAAGGAAGTACATATCTCAACTAATTAATTACTGCTACATTTGATTTCATTAATTACATATGAGAAACTGGCTTTCAGGAACACAGTTATTCAACACAGCCATTTCATGTGTAAACTACAGCTCTTGATTTTTATAAGCGTCACAGGCCTGCTAACATTTTACTTAGGTGTTAGATTTAGGAAGCATTTCTCACTAGGAAATAAGTATGAAGCAATTTGCAGTAAGCAAAAGTGAATAAAATTAAGCCAACCCAGGAAAAATCTTTTGTTTTGGATCTTGGATGATAGAAATTGGTCCTATATCTAACACTGCACAAGATAACTTGCACAATGAAAAGTAAGCAGAAGTCCCTTACACTGCCTCGCTTTGCCAGAGAATCACCGTAGTCTGCTGGCAAAGTCCGCTTGCTGGACTTTTTCTGCTCATGTTCAACTGCATCTTCAATTATAGGCTCAAGCCTCATCTGGACAAACACCAAAGATGTGGATCAATTTCTTTTCATTATACAGTGAGGAAAAATTTTAAAGCCTTTTAAAAACGTCTGCAATCTTTAGAAAGCTATAGAAAACTCACTGGTGTTTAAATAAAAAGAAATACAAAAGCCCAGTGAGGCTCTGCCCATGAATTCATTAACTTTTAAATACAACTGTGGGCCCAAACTGACAAGGATAAAACAAATCCTAATACAATATTTTCAGCACTGGGTTTTAAGATACATACATGAGATTTCCTTGAGTAAAACTAAATGTTTTAACAAAGTACCTACTTTTCTTGATCCTAAATCTTACAGGTCTTCTGTTTCTTTGTGATCTATGTCTGTCAAATAAACTGTACCTTTACATATATTTTGCTTTAGCCCCACCCTTTGAAACCCTAACTTACTGCTTAAAGTATGTCAAGTGTACTTTGTATAATTTCTCTCAACAAATAAAACATTCCATTATTTTTACCTCAGTGAGAATCGTAGTGTCATATGAAGGCTGATATTTTTCTTTTTCATGGGCAGTTCGCTTCTCCATCTTTTCTCTATCTGTTTTCTGTTTTCTGTCTGCCCCTTTTGGCTAAAAACAAAATTATACCAGAAAAGAAAAGAAAAGAAAAGAAAAGAAAAAGAAAAGAAGAGAAGAGAAGAGAAGAGAAGAGAAGAGAAAAGAGAAAAGAAAGCATATAGAAAAAAATTAGTACAAAAATAACTTCTATACTGCCATTTTTTTATGCCATCCCCCAAAAATTTATTTAACTCCCTTACCTTAAACACTTTGATTTGACAGCTGGCTGAATGCAGATGATCAGTGTACTCTCCATTTTCTGCCTGTTTAAAAGTGTCAACCTGAATCCTAAAAGGAACTCCTTTTTCACCTCCATGTTTACGGGGGGTAAATTCAGTGCTGATACAATGTACCTGGAAAAAAAAAAATCAAAGAAAACCAAAGTGGACATGCAAAGATATATTCTGTCTCTATCAGAAGTATTAGATTCATACATTTTTCTGTATTATAGTAGAAATTGTTGCCACAGGCAGATAAAACACTGCATCACTTATAAAATCTATCCCAAGCCATTATCTTCTTTTTAAAAAGATGATATCCATGAATGGATGATAAAGCTATTACAGGTATTACCCATACTAGAAAAATGGAACTCTAGATTCAGAGGCATTAAACTTTTGAATGGCAAATTATCAGGACAAACAGCTACAGAAGAAAAATACTTTTTTACTATCATGTATTGCTTGGACCCTTTCTCTAGCAGCATTTGAGATCCCTAGAGTACTGCTGGAGCAAGAAAATTTTAGCATGTGGGGCCAATGGGAAAGATAAGACAGGTGGTAAGGGATCAAAAAACCTTCACAAAAAGGCCAGTTTTTACTGTTTGTGGGGAGAATGGTTTGGGGCATGCATTTTGACATTTAAAGCACCCCAAACAACTCCCCCAAAAATCAGGCCAAATATTTTGGCTCTAATGATACTGGTAATATTGCACTGAAGTTCATATCTACTATGGCCCCCAGAAATTTAAAAAAAAATCGCAATGCAAAAAATGTTGCCCACTCTTTTAAAAGAATTACGCTTTTGAGATCTTGACAGTTTAAAATAATAGTTTCAAAGACAGCAAACAATCAAACCTGAATAAAGGCAGATGTGCGTTTTCCAGGATCCCACAAAAACTCAACTGCATTGAGCTGGCCTGGATTTGTTTTTATATCAATTACTCCAACAGACATAGGAATATCTATAAAATAAAGACAAAAGATTGAAAAATAAAACAATATTTGTTTTAAAACAGCAAAAACATGAATGTTATTAAAATATATGAATCCTTCTTTTTTTAGTTTTATTCTTAGGTCTTCCAGTGAGTCTATTACTTCTTATGACAGTTTTTTAACGAGAACTCCCCAAAATGGAACTATAATTTACAAAGGCATTCACAAAATCCTATATAATAATATATTATTTAAACCAGATATTTAAATTTTATTATTTCATAGTAACAAAGTTTGCACTTTATTTTTATGAAGATATTATCTTAATTCATGAATTTACCTAAATCAAGTAATCGGTCTCCAGGACGATTCCACTTCCAGCCTTCTAGCTGCTGATGCTCAGTGTATTGTAGTCTTCTGTCATGGAACACTACTCTTATGATACTCTAATATAAAAGACAACGTATCAACCCCCCCAATAAAAATAGGACAAAAATTATCATTTTGTTATAGTAGTATAGTTAAGGTTGCCAATTGAATACCCACTCAATTTTTTAAAATTTGGGTGAGTCAACAAAGTAAGACCTTCTTCTTTAACTGGGAGATATACATTTATGTAAAGGTACAAACTCCTTTCAGATGGCCCCCAGAATAACAGATTGTGATGATCCCAAGAAAAGAAGAATCTTTTCTGTGAGAGAAGAATAATCTAGAGAACATCCATTTATATGTGGACTAAACTGAAAACATTATTTTACAGCTCAAATAAAGTAAGTTCATATGCCCTATGATATACACTAAATTATTTTTTGACTACAGCTGAACACTAACTTAGAGATCTCAGTAACATCAGCAAATTGGAGGGTTGGAATCATAAGAGCTATGAGCTTCCTCATCAAAATGCCAGGAGGTACAGAACATGTTAAGTGCTCATGCATTCATAATTTTATCTCTGAATCAATTTTACTTTCTCTTAATATATATCTCTGGTGCCCTTAATATACATTGGGGCTATTTTCAGTCAGCTGGGAATTCTTGGAATTGTAGTCTCAGCACATCAGGGAAGATTACAACTGATAAACACAGACTGAATGTTATTTGATTACTGTGTAATACAAACATTTGTATCAGCTAATCCAGACCACAAAAGTAAACAACGGAGGAATGGATTGTGAAGATGGCAGAATTTGCAGAAATGGCAAAAATGACCTGTTTGATCAGGGATAAAACAACAATTACTTTTATAAAAGACTGGAAATCTTTTATGGACTTTTTTCTGAAAATGGAAAAAAATGAAATGGTGATTTATGGATTTGCTGTTTAAAAGGGTTGAATATGGGTTAGAGGGGAATTGTGTGATATAATCTTAAAGAGGGAGGAGGGATAAGAAGCTGGTTTATAACTGCTGTAAAAATCAGAAGTCGCTTCTTTAATTATTTTTTTCTTTTTTTGTTTCTCTCACTTTTTTTTAACTCTCCTTTATATATGCTCTTATGTTTATCTTTCATTCATGTAAAAATCTTCAATAAAATTATATTAGAAAAAAGGAAAGAACTCCAATTTTCTAAGTCAATCCAAACTGGTGAGCATTACTAGACCCCAAACTTAGATATGATTAATATTATCACTCATATTAAACCACCGTACAGACAGGTACAGAAGTTCCTGGTGTGCTTTTTCCTTTTTTTAAATTACCATGTCATACATACACTTACATCTCACAAAGTAACTTAAATAATGAGCTCTGTGAATTACTTGCACAAAGAAATTCTTCAATCTTACAGTAGAACAACTAACAAAAAGAGCTATGTAATCACATGCTTGTAGCTGCTTTCAACATTATTCTCCCCTCCTGATAAAGTTATCAGGAAGAAATACTGGAAGAAGAACATTCTCTTCCCAAACCTGTCAGTGCAGAGCAGAATATTTCAGATGCTTCCTCCATACTCCCATAGCTGCATTTTAACACCCAGAGCAACAAAATGTTACTGTAGAGAGCAGTGGGAATGGTCAGAGAGAATTTCAAAGAAACATGAGTCAAGGTTGAACTATCAACATACCTTTACCAGTTTCCCATTGATCTCTGGCATATCTCCCATTTTTCGATTATCTAACAGCCGAATTTCATAGGACTGACCTTTCAAAAGGAAAAAGGAAAGG